CCGGCGCCCTCCCCGACCTCGAGAGCAAGCGTGAGGCGGCCCTCCAGCACAAGGGTGGGTGATGCCCGCATCCCAGGAGCCTCCCCCGCACCCCTCTGCCGGCGTCCCCACCCCCTGCAACAGGTGGAGGGTGGGGCCAAGCTCTGGCCTGGTGCTGAGCCTGCCTTCGTCCTGGGCCTCTTTGCAGGGCACCAGGTGATTCAGGAGCAGCAGCGGCGCCTGGCCGACCTGAAGCAGAAGGCGGCAGCAGAGGCCCAGGGCCAGTGGGAGGCCCTGCAGGGGGCCCCCCTCTGCCCTCCCCTCACGCCCCACTCTGTCCTCCATCATCACCCCCTCCTGGGCCAAGGTCAGCCGGCCAGTGACCCCGAGCCAGCCTACGACACCCTCAGCCTGGAGAGCTCGGACAGCATGGAGACCAGCCTCTCCCTGAGCGGGAACTCGGCCTGCTCCCCTGACAATGCCTCCAGGTGCGGCCTGCCCCACTGCCTTTCCCATTCCTGCCCGGCCTGCGGGAGGCCCTTTGCCGCCCGGTCTCCCCAGGCCCGCCCTCTCCATTGCCTCCGTCTCATTGGGCCCTTGGGTCCTGCCCAGCGTCCTCTGGGTTGGGCTGCGCTGCGGACCCGTTCAGTCCAGGCAGCACTGGACCCCGACCTGGGGAGTGGCTAGTTGGGGGGGCAGCGGGGCTTGGCTAGGAGCGGGCAGTAACGACCGGTTGGCCTTGCAGTGCCAGTGGGGCCAATGCCAGGAAGATCGAAGAGATGGAGAAACTGCTGAAAGAGGCCCATGCCGAGAGGTCACGCCTGATGGAGTCACGAGTGAGGGCAGGAGGAAAAGGCTGGGGACGGGGATCCCCCAAGTTACCCATTCCCCCATCGGCTGGCCCTTGCAAACATTGGGGGGGCTTTGAAAGGCAGCTGATTCCCTTCTCCTTAGGGAATCCTGTCCCTGTCAGCAGAATCCGCCCCTTCCCCAAAGAGCGTGGCCTGGACGGACGGCGGGGCAGGGGTGGGTGGCTTCTGCCCACGGCCAGGGATACAGTTGTGGACCTGGCGGGGGACATGGGTGGGTGGAGTAGGAGGCAGCAGCGCCCACCCTCCCTGTACTGGCAGGAGCAAGAGGTGGAGCTGCGTCGTCAGGCCTTGGAGGACGAGCGGAGGCGGCGGGAGCAGCTGGAACGGCAGTTGCAGGACGAGGCGGCGCAGCGACAGGTGCTGATTGAGAGGGAGGTCAAGATGCGGGAGAAGCAGCTGGCTCAGGTGTGCAGCCCGGGCGGGTGCGTTCCTCCACGGCCCCAGAGGGTGGGGCTGCTGTGGCCCCCCTCCTCCCGTCCTCCGGGGAGGCAGCACTCCTTGCTCCCCCAGCAGGAGCTCTCCCGGCCAGAGCTCCAGGCCAAAGCTCGATCGGAAGGATCGCCTGCTCTGCGGTCCTGGCAGCGGGAAGCTGGCTGGGGAGGAGCTGATGCCTTGGCCCGCCCCCTGGGCTTCTCCCTGCTGTTAGGGAGGGCTGGCGCTGAGCCCGGCTGCTGGCTTGGCTGCTGCAGGGGTTGGGGGACAAGAGGGCTTCAGCGTCTGCGAGCTCAGCCCCCCCATCCTGCAGGCACGGCCCTTGACGCGCTACTTGCCCATCCGCAAAGAGGACTTTGACCTGCGCCTGCACATCGAGTCCTCTGGCCACAGTGTGGACACCTGCAGCCACGTCATCCTCTCTGAGAAGTTGTGCAAAGGCTACCTGGTCAAGATGGGGGGCAAAATCAGGTCCTGGAAGAAGCGCTGGTTTGTCTTTGACCGCCTGCGGCACACCCTCTCTTACTATGTGGGTAAGGCTCCTGTTCCCAGGCTCCTGCCCCGCCGGCCCTCCCAGCCCAGAGGCGGGGCTCACGGGTCTCCCCCTTTCTTCACCCCCCGCAGACAAGCACGAGACGAAGTTGAAGGGCCTCATCTACTTCCAAGCCATCGAGGAGGTCTATTACGATCACCTCCGGTGCGCGGCCAAGGTGAGACGCAGCCGGGGGAGTGGCGAGGAGGGCTCATTCTGATTGTGGCGCTGGCCCCAGCTGGGCCCTCCTTCATCTGCAGAAGAGATTCTTCCCTCCCGCCCTGTCCAGCGTAGGTGCCCGTCCGTTTCCTCTGGCGAGCCCAATAACCTGCATGGCCCCGAGTCCCCGAACTAACAGAGCCATCCAGGAGGGGCTTGCTTGGGCTGCCACTCCGGAGGGACCCAGGGGAGGCGGCACTAGGGGCAGATCGCAGCGTGACCTCAACCAGTCGGCATCCTCACGGCTCGGGCAGCCCTGTAAGGCTACAGCCACGGTGAACGGGCAGCTCTTGGATCACCTGAGGGAGGAAGGGTGTGTGGCCTCCTTTTGGCCCATTTTGCAAAAAGTAACAGGCTTGCTTGGACAAAGCTCTTGCATGGCGTAGCTGCCGCAGGACCTGCCTGCAGTTTTTCTCCTTGCCCCCCGCCCGTAGTCCCTGTTCACAGTCTGTTTTTTCTCTGTCTTGTAGCACGTAGCGGCCTTTCGCCATTTGCTCTTCAGTGGAAAGTTTTGCTGGCCCTTCCTTTTAGGGCCGGTTTTGCCTCCTTCTCCGCACTTGAACAGGCCGGGGGCAGGGAGGGGGTTCTTGTGGCCTCCTTAGTATTACCTCTGGCTCTCCTGTCGGGAGGGTGGGTATAGGGCAGCAGGAAGGCGGCCCTGGCAGTGTCTCTCTTCTCTCGGCAGAGCCCCAACCCCGCCCTGACCTTCTGCATCAAGACCCACGACCGGCTCTACTACATGGTGGCCCCCTCTGCAGAAGCCATGCGCATCTGGATGGACGTCATTGTCACGGGGGCCGAAGGCTACACCCAGTTCCTGAGCTGATGTGCCAGAGCCAGGACAGTGGCGCCTTGTCTGCTGCCCCGGGCCCCAGGCGGGCAGAGAAGCAGACTCCACCCGCCTCGGCTCTCCAGCATCGCCTCGCAGGGCTTCAGGCGGACAAGGACTCTGCTGCGGGGAGCCCGAGCACCGGCCCCAGTGGCGAAAGCAGGACCACAGCCAGCGGCCTCTTGCCCCGTGGCCGAGCCCCTTGAGGGAGCGGGTCTGCCTGCCTGCTGCACCCCCTCAACTTCTGAGCTGGCGGAAGGTCAGAGGAGCCCGGCCGCCCCCAGTGTGGCTTTGCATGAGGGGCAAGGTCCGCCCCCCCGGCCTAGACGGTGGGGAGCTACCTGGCTTTCGGTCACCAGGTGCAGAAAAGCCACAGGAGGGGGGGCTGGGCTCCTTCTGGAAGCCCCCAGCCATCTTGGATCTTTTGCCTCCAGGGCTGGTTTCCTACATTTTTTTCAAAACGCAGAGGCAGCTCTTCCGCGGAGCCTGGGCTGCTGCAGCTGCTGCGGGGCCGGGCGGAGACAGGAAAGCAAAGCCAAGCCTTTTGCATGCTTTCACTGACACGCTCCTTCTTTGGCCATTTGAAGGACCTGCTCAATAAATCAAAGTTTATTTACAGCCCGAGACCAAACACAAGAAAAACACCAAGGCTACAATAAATACAATTTTTAAAAAGTGCAAGAAAATCCTGAGCTAATTAACAGCTAACCATTAATAGCCTGAGGGAGGACCCAGGCAGCTTCTAAGAGCTCTAACTGTCGAAAAAAAGGTGCAACCTTCTTTTGAAGGTTTCTGAAGAGCGGTCTCCCAGACGAAAGGTAATGGGCCCTTGGTCACGATGGCAGTTAGGGTTGTTAACAAGAATTGGAAGTGTTAAGTTGATCACCGCTGGGTGTGCCAACGGCTTTTTAATAGCACGTGTGCAGCAGGTTCTATCTCTGTGTCTGGGGAAAAACGGTTTGGCTTTCATGTGGGAGACGTGAACCAGTTGTTGCCTAACAGGTTTGGGGCACGGAAGTAGTCTCCTATGAGGAACATATTGAATACTGAAGAAATATTGAAGGGGGGGCAATTGTGCTATAAAAGGGGTGGGAAACGTTGGCTCTATCCCACCTCTGCTTCAGTTCAACCAAGGTTTGATCAAGGCCCAAAGTAGTTAATGCTTGCAAGGAAAGACTGCAGTATGCCAGATCATCAGTGATTCATCTTCTTTGGGTGGAAGAGAACCTACCTGGCAAGGTGAGATGGACCAAGGAAGTTCCTCAGTAGACGCTTCAGCCAAAATCTGAGATGACAAATCTTAACCCAACCCCCAAGGGAAGTGCAGCCTAGTTCCAGTCTTATTAAAGCATTAGAAAATGAATAAGGGACTTGTGACAAGAATTTTTTTTTTAATTCTAAGCTCGGGAAGCCCTTATAGACACACAGCTAACCATCACGTAGCATCATACGAGAACTTTAGCTTTAAGTAGTTTAATGGTTGCTGGAACATAATTATTTCCAATGGACCTGCAAATTTAGCAGTTTTGAAGGATGCTTTTGGGGTTCTTACTAGTAGCTTGAATAGACCAGCAGGTAGATTGAGAACGGTTATCTAGATATTTAAAGGATAGTCTGATAGGTTTACCATTAATCATCCATCTAATTGGGGCCTTAAAGTGTTTCTTAGAGAATATCCATCATTCTTTTGTTTTAGAATATTTTATTTTGAGGTGTTCTCTGGAGCAGTAAAGGGACCGTCTGCAGAAAGCAGCCCTGCCCACTCTAGATGGACCAAATGCTCTGGGTGTTTGCTGCAAAACAAGATGTTGACCAAGCAAGGAAACGTGTCATGAAGCCAACCCTGGCTTTGCGCAGGTGCGTCCGGACACCGGGCACAACTTGCACTGCTTCGCTTGCCCTCAGCACTTGCGTCAGACGCCCCATGCCCACTTCAGCCCACTAGAATGGGACAGGATCTCCCACAGGGCCACCGGGCCAGTCTACACAGCCAGGCCCTGATCCCATCCCAAGGGATTCCTGCGGTGGCTCCCTGCTCTGTTCGGGAGGCACTCCAGCCCAGGGAGCAGCTTGCTTGGGCTTGAGGACCCGCTGTGAAAGAGCCTTCAGGGCAATGGGTCTCCCTGTTGACTGAGCACCTCCTGATGCTCAGCCCGTGGTGGCTTCCCTCCCTGTCGCTCCTGCCTGACCAGCACACGTGGCAATGCCTGGGCCTGGTTCGGACACTCTGCTTAATTCAAACTCAAGATAATTAAGCAGAGTCTCCAAATCAGGCCCGGGCATCAGTCAAAGGAGCGCAGGGGTGTCCCCCTGCCGGCTGAGGCTCTGCTGATGGGGCCATTAAGACATGAGCTAATGGCTGCCTGGGCTCTTATGGACGGTATCCAAATGTGGCAGGGCTTTAGATTAACTTCTAACTCTATTCTGTGGAAGAAGGGCAGCCTGGGGGTCTTTTTCTGCCGCCATTTCCCCTTCCCCCACCAGAGCACTCCAGGCCAGGCGTGTCCTTTTCTCCAGGGCAGAGGACGGAGCTCCTTGCAGAGCAGGTCCACCTAGTGATCAGCAAGGGCTGCTCTGGCGTGGTTTGGGCTGAAAAGAGAGACTTGTAAGATCTGACCAACCATTTTCCACCATGTGAACGTGGGTGTCAATGATGGGGGGAAGCTGCCTCTTCCTGTGATTCCCCAGCAATCGGCCTGGAAGCCCCCAACTTCAGGCAGCCTTGTGGCTCTGAGTCACAGTCGCCTTCTAAGGCCGTCACGTGAGACCTGATGGCCGATCCCAGAGATGGCCTTTACTTTGATCTCTCCGTCAGTCAGCACTGGCACTGCAACCTCGCCTGACCCGTGGCTTTCACTTGGATTTTTCCAGTCGGGCCTTGGGCTACGGCTACGTCCCCTCGACCTTGTTGGTTGCACTCCTCTGTCATGACCAAGGGTAGCTGTTTTGTTTACTGGTTTGTATGCTTTCACTCCACACTGGAACAATGCACGCCAGCCACTGAGGACAGATCTTGGCAAAGCATCCTGTGAACTTTATTGCCTGTGTATGTGCAACAGCTGTCTGGCCACACTGCCAAGGACAGCTGCGGAGGGAACGGTTGCGCTGCTGGGATTTCTCCTATAGGCTTGGTGGCATGTGATGGGGGCACAGAGGATTGTGCGGGGCACGCACACCGCAGATGTTCTGCTGGAGCTGAGCCTCTCCCACACCCAAAGGATCTCAAGAGTCGAGCCAGGGGCACAGCTACCCTTCCTGGTGGACCTCGAGCGCCCAAGGAGGCTGCGAGAGCACGGCTAGGAGAAGGCAGGCCCCAATCCAGGGCCAGGAGAGAGAGGAGAGCTGGCGGCAGTGAGCTGTTCACCATACAGATCTAGCAGTTGCAGGGCCACACCATTAGTCCAACCAAAGCCTTCCTGCAGGAGGGGATGCAACAGGGACGATGCAAATTAACAGAGGCAAGTGGGACGTGTTAGGTCGAGAGCCCCTCCCCACCGCCTTAATTTTGAGTGGCATCTGCAAAGATGTCTTACCTGCACCGGATACTCCCCACCTGAGCCTGGCTTCCCATCCCCTTCAACATCATACTAGGAGGGAAAAAAGGGTTAGCAATGGTGGCTGCTCCAGGCTAAGGTGCCATGATGACCAGCAGATAAAAGGACCGAGAGAGGGGCCTTCACCCGGGAGGCTCAACCCTGGGGAGGGATGGAGGACAGATGGAGAGGAGCTGCAGTCTGGAGGAGGCAGGGGAGTCATGTGGAAGACAAAGCCAGGAGGCCGCAGGACGAGAGGGCCTCACCTTCTCAAACATTCCTTGGTACTTCTTGAAGACAGCTAGGTTCATTTGCAGCCAGCGCCGAGCCAAGCTGAAGGCCAGCTCTTGTGCACGGGGAGAAGAGGATTTGGCCAGGCCTGGGAGGTCAGGGAGATGCTGTCAGTTTACGAATAGGGCAGGGTTGGGCTGTGCTGGGGCAGGGACAGTTCGCCAGGTGAACAGGGCAGGAGTTGAAAAGGCAGAAAGCAGGGCCAGCCCAGGACACAGCAAAACATCCCCTTGAGGCTTTGGAAGGACTCCTCACCTGCAATCACCATGTGCTGGAGTGGGGCCCAAGCATTTGGAAAGTCCCATTGTTGCCCCGTCCGTATCAGGGAGGTGGGCAGTCCGTTGGCATAGGACAAGGCTGAACTCTCCTGGGGGCACACACAAAGGTGAGGGCGTTTCCAGCCAGACCCTCTGGGAAAATTCAAAGGGGGGAGCAACAGCTAAAGGTCTGGGCCGGGGGGTGGGGTGGGAAGGCAGCTGTGAGGTTACACATCCTGTCTGGCCCCAGGCCCTGGCCCCGGAGTGTGGGCGAGGTGCGACTAGAGAGCAGTGTTCAGTCTATAAGGGTGGGGAAGCCAGCCTTGTGTGCCACCAACCGGTCTGTGCATTATTCTGTAAGGCTTCCCCAGAAAGAAGGGTCCCAATGGTGAAAAGCAGGCCAGCAAGGCGCTCTCCTCCGCTGCATGCCTCTGTGACCCGCCCTACAGACCCGGAGTGCTGCCAGGGTCTTCGCAGGTGAATCTTGGGGTGCCTGCCTCAGCTGCACCCCGGCAACGTCCACCTCCTGGCAGTCTCCGGCCAGCCACCAGCTGCCTCTTACCTCAAGGTAGCGAAGCACCCTCTCCACCCTGGGCAGATCCACACCACACTCAGCCCACAGAGGGCTTAGGTTGGAGGGGTAGAAAGCCCGGTTGTGCCTCTGGCGGAGGAGGTTGTAGTCCAGCCAAACGCCCACTTCGTCATTCCACAGGAGAGCAGTGAGGGCAGCCACCCGCTGCTTCCGTGCAGCCTGGAACCGGCTGGCTCTCTCGCCATCCCCTGGGGAGGAGAGGCAACATCTCTCCTGTGCAAAATGCCCGCCCTCCGTTCCCCTGGCAGGCAGGCAGGCAGGCAGGCAGGCAGGCAGCTCACCAGGGCACCAGAGCGAGGCCAGCCCGCACAGCCGCCGAGGAACAGGCCTGCAGAAGGCGATGCTGATTGTGTCCTGTCAGGGCGTCCCCTCCTCCTGCTGCACCTCCCTGGCAGGCCTCATATCACGGGGGCAGCTGCCCGCCTTTGCCCCATTTCTCACCGAGGGCTTGGTAGAAAGCGGCCAACAGTTGCTCAGCTTTGCAAAGAATGGCGTTTAAGTCCACCGGCACGATCGCGCTGACTCTGGTGGCCTGCAGCGGTGGGGGCCCCGGCAAGAACCAGCGGGAGGAGAAATCCCACCCAGACTCAGCAGCACTCTTCAGCTCTGCCCAAAGACCCTGCTGAGCTTCTGCGGGGAAAGAAGTGGTGAAGCGGGACACAGCGGCCTCCGCTATTGCCCACAACGTCCCCAGGCAGCGGGCAGGTTTCTCCCCATTGCTAGAGCCCTAGAGATGGAAGAGGCCCTGGAGGTCACAAGTACAACTCCTGGAATCCACATGAAAGGACCCCAGATGGATGGATGGACGGCTAGACTCTGATGGAGCACAGTGCTCCCGCCACTGCCAAGCGACCCCTGCAATGAAGAGGTTTCCCAAACATTTGAGTGGAACGTCCCTTCCTGTAGCCTAGGCCCATTATTGTGTTCTGCCTTCAAGGGCCGCAGAGAACAGATCTCAGCCCTCTTGGGTGTGAGATGCCCTTTCAGGTATTTGAAACATGATACCCCACCCTTTGCCTCTAATCTCTAACCTTGTTTCCTGGACCCTTCTTAAGATGTGGTACCCAGAACTGGCCAAAGCAGAACGGAATGGAATTATTACCTCCTGTGATGGGAGAACTATACTCTGCTGATGCGGACAAAAATTGCATTTGCTGTTTCTGCAGCTGCATCACTCTGCTGCTCATTTTTAGTTTGCAGTCAGCTACTATTTCAAGATATTTCTCAAAATATCATGACCAAGCCACTTCCTCCACCGAGGACCTGATAGGGCAGTTACCTTCATCTATGCCCATTGCCAGCTCCACATCCTTCATGTAGGACTCTGGTCTGGTGGGGGAGAGGATGGAAAGAGATAGAAACGTTGAAAAGGATCCAGAAGTTCTTGGAGATCAAGCATGTCCACTTAGGGAAAGGAGGAGCATATCTGTGGTGGCCACTCACCTGGGTTCCCCCACCTGGACATTGTAGCGATTCAGGGAGTATTGCTTGCCCCCAGCGGAGATATTGACAGCCCGGTGGTCTTGCCAGAAGTGATACTCAGCCTCCAGCAGGTGGATGTTTTCCCTGGAGAAGGCAGTGCCCAGAAGAAGCTACAGGGAGGCCTCAAGCGGTGGAGCCAAACATCCCTCTTTATGCCCAGAGACCGAGGTGGAGGAGGGGGACCAACACCTCTGGCCAGGTCTGCATGCTGAGCTGCAGCCTGGTGTGCTGAGGAAGCCAAGAACCCTGTCGACGGCCGGTTGAAAGGCACTCACTGCAGAAACTCGGTGTCGTTTGTGTGGCTCAGGTAACTCTCCATCATCAGGCTGAGGAGTGGTGGCTGACTCCGACGCTCATAGTACACTCTGCCTCCATTTGGGACGTGTCCAAATCTGCTGCCAGGAAGCCATGTGGATCAGAAGAGGATCGGTGGCAGGGCCAGATCCTGCCGAGCCCTCCGAGGCCAGCAGAGTAGCTGTCTGTACCGGCCCGTCGGGCTTCCCCATCAGCCTCCTGGGGAGCTGAGGCAGAAGGAGAAGCGACACCACCTCCCACCTGCCTTTCCTGGCCAACCCTCACTTGCTGACTAGGTAGAGGAAGTTCTGGATCAGGCCCTTGGCTGTGGCTGTCATGTTGGAGAGGAGGAGCCCTCTGACGACCCAGAAGGAATCCCTGGAGCAGGAAAGAGTAGGGTGAGCCATGTGTGGTTGGGGCAAGGGAGTCTAGGGAAAGCTGCTGGCCAGGCCCCACTTCGTTGGGGCACATGCCCACCACCAGCCCTATACGTGTCTCACCAGTAGTAATACTCACGGAACCGCCCCCCGGGCACTATCAGCGGGTGTGGCACATAGATCACGGAGTAACGCCAAGGAGTAACTTGAACATCAGGATTCACCTGAAGGGAAACGGGAGCAGCTTCTGCTGAGGGCACAGCCAGCCTCCCTCTGCAACCCCACAACTGGCTGACCCTCGGAACTCACCCGCCTACCCAGCTGCTTCCACTTGGCATTCAGGGTCTGGGCCCAGGACCGCAGCTTCTCATCTGAAATCCTCTTGAGGAGGGGGATGCTAAAAGGGATCCAGGAGGTTCAGAAGGTAGCCATTCAAGGTGCCAGCGAGGGATTCAGGGAGAAAAATCTTGCAAACTTTGCGACCTGTAATATCCCCAAAGCCTTGAAAAGAAAAGGCTTCCATTCCCACCCCAGCGCAAAGGAACAAGGTCGTGGCACCCTGGGGAGACCACGTGGACCATGACTTTCCTGGGAATTAGGGGACCAGACCAGGATCACTGCTGGCTGCAGAGAGGGCTGCTGGGTGCAGGGAGCTGACCTGGCAGGGGGCCTCCAGTGGGTTTCCCAGAGGCCGATGATCGGCACCTCTGGCTGCTAGGGTCAAGGGTCTTTTGACCAGAAAGTTCGGAAGGGGCCCTCTCCAAGGCCGGGAGGTGGCAATAGTGCCCTCATGTGATAGGTTGGTTGTTTAGGGCCTCAAAGATCAAGTCCAACCAGAATGGGACCAAGGGCCAACACACGCCTTGAAGAGTGGCCGGTGTGTTCCAGAAACACAGTCGTTAAGAACTCAGCATTTTGCCACCTCAGAGAGCAGGGTACATCTCACCACGCCTCTTCCAACTGGCACTGTACCTGTCTGTCCAGTCTGGAGGCACCCAGCTTTCCAGCTCCTGTCCTGGGGGAAAGAAGTGAGCCTCCACAAAGCTTGCCAGCTGTGGCTTGGATAAGGCCCCACTGGGTGTGGCATTCACCAGCTCCCAAAATTGCTTCAGAACCACATCTGGGAAGAATGGAACAAAGGTCTGCGAGGCCTGATCCAGGGAGGAGCCAGATTAGGCACTCACTCTGTACCAGGGAGCAGCGGGGAGTCAAGGGGGGGAGGCTTGGGGCAGCACACTTTGGCTGGCAAGCCTCCTCCTCATTCTGAGCAAAGCATTTGGCAGAGGCCACACATCATTCCTCTGTGATGCAACACTACGACCCATTTCTAAATTCAGGACCATCTCTCCCAACAATCGGGGCTGTTAGAAAAGCAGGGTGACTGGCAATGGGGAGAGGCCCACACTGCAGGGGTGGACAGGCTGGGTGTGGGCATTCACCTGGATTTGACTTCAGTGGCATGTCCACAAAGTGTTTGTCATCCCAAAAGAGCCTGGCGCGCTGGACCTGACGGAGCAGCTCTCCAGTGCAGTAGATGTGGCTAGCAAGGGAAGAGCAGAAGCTGGTCCGCAGGAGAGCAAAGTAACGCCAGTGGAAGCACCACTGGCAGCGAGGCCTTCACAGGGTGGGCAGGGCAAGCCCAGCTGCTCCTTTATGCCCACAGCCAGGTCTCCCCAGCGACTATGCCCAAACCCCCAAGTGTCTTCTGGGCAGCCAATTCCATTCCTTCCCCAGCATCTGGCCCAGGAATGCTGCCAAGAGTTGGCCAACTTAAGGTGCCTCTTTTGCTGCGGGGCCTGGGAGAACCACTGTGTCGGCACCTGGCACAGGACTGAGCAGCTCCTCCCCTCGCTGTCTCTTGAAAGCAGCTCCTCCTTGGCGAGAGCTGCTGAGGGATTCCATCCCAGGCGAATCACATTTTGCAATGCAGAAGAACCACCTAGGTTACAACTATCATTAGCCAGAGAGTGGCTCCTTCCAGTTCTGGGAAGAAAACGCAGAACCGGAGCACCGGAGTCTCAACAGACCAACTGCCGCTTCATTCACTGACTGGCAACAAGGGACAAACATGGGGTCCCCTGAAACCATCCCCCTTCTTTCCACCATGCCAAACACTTCTAGTTACCTTCTCAGGTAACACATTTTTTTCTCCTTCCTTCACCTGCGCTCCCACTCCTTTCATCATCCAATACAGTTGACTGGCAGAGAGAAACTCCCCAGGTGCACCTCATGGCTTAGTAGGATTGGGACCAAGGCTGTCCTCAGGCCTTGCCCAACAGTCCCCTGCCTCATCTCCATTGCGCACTGTGATTTTAAGCAGCAAGGGAATTCCTTAAGAAGCGGGCTCTAGAGAGCCCACCAGCTTGCTCACTCACCTGTCACAGGGGGGCGGGAGCCTGCCTGCCGCTGCCTGCCACCCCCACAGAGCTGCGTACATGGCCAGAAGCGTCACCTGACCTGGCATTTCAGGAGACAGCAGGAGCGCCAAGCAGTACCTATAATTCCAGGCAATCCCCACAAAGAAAGCAGTTTCACCCCCACAGCCAAGCAGGACTCTGAACTCTTCTCTGCTTTGGGGTGGAGTGTTTGCTGGGTGGCAGAACCTGCTTGGAAATGCAGGAGCGTGCTCCAGGGCTGGCACGCAGAGAAGGGCGGAGCCTGGGAAACTCACAGACCCAGCGGAAGGGCTGACTCCAAGGCCGTTTGCGCCACCAGGCAAGTTAGCAGCCTGCCACCTGGGAGGAAAGAAGGGAAATGCCACCATCCCTCTCAAGGGAGACGCCCTCCTCCTGTGCCTTGAACCCGGGCGGCTTCTCTTCTTGCCCCAAACAGCCGCTTCAGAGCTTGGTAGTGCAAGTCAGCCTTTGCTTTGCGCATTCTTCTGAACATGCTCTCAATGGCTGCAATACAACCCAGACGGAGCAACGCACCCTACAAAGAAAGAGTCTGAAGCAAGCTCAAGTCCCAGTGAGCTTTTATTGAGCCAATTCTCTTAAAAAATAAGTCAGGATTTTATCATTCAGCACTTCTGACAATATGTTCACAGCCTTCCAATATACACTTGTGTACATACACTGTGCCAAAATCTGAGCTCTGCTGGACATTTGCCAGTTCCCAGTTCCAAACAAAAAAA